ATATATATATATACACGTGTGTGTATATATATATATATATATATATATATATATATATATATATGATAGATAGATATGACTAGAAAGATATATATATATATATATATATATATATATATAGATAGAGAGAGAGAGAGATAATTATAATGCAAAGAGCGAGAATAGAGAGATATGTAAATAACTGTCATAGTATGGTGGGAAGACTGAAGTAGATAAATAGATACATAGACAGCTAGTGAGGCAGATAAAGGCATTGCGCTGAGAGAGAGAGCGAGAGAGAATCAATAGATAGATAGATAGATAGATAGATAGATAGATAGATAGATAGATAGATAGATAGATAGAAAATGATTATACTAAGCAAGATAAAAAAAAGAGAGAGAGAGAGCAAGATATAAAAAGTACAGAGCAAGAATAGATCGATTGATCAATCGATAATGAGTAGTGAGGTAGATAGATATAAGTATATATATAGATATCCGTCTAAGTGGTTTTTACAAGAGAACTTAAATTCTGACCATTAAGTGAATAGAGCAAGGATCGATATACGTAATAAATCGAAGATACGATATCAGGTATGTGATCAGATCATCTAAGCAGTTTGTATAGCGTTATATCGTTCTCCTTTCTCGAAATAAAAGAATATGAAATGAGGAAATATCACCTACTTTTCCTCCATTTTTCCTTTTGACGGAAAACAATTTTAATATTCGCTATCCATAAATGAGAAGGATATGTTGAAATGTCAGCTTTTAGAATAAGTGTTTTAACAAAGGACGGGACGTGTGTCACTGAAATCCGAAGGTTTATTGTGATAGTCAAACATGCATTCTAAAAGCTAAGAAGAGTACTAAGAAGTCGAAAGACTTCGCTTGAAACAATGAAAAGAATACTAAATATTAACGTGATGTCTGTCTTCCAAATATGATAGTGGATGCTGGAAGATCTGAACGATGAAAAGGATACTTGAAGCATCAGAAATGTGAGACTTGAAGCATCAGAAATGTGAAACTTCAAACATCAGAAATGTGAGACTTGAAGCATCAGAAATGTGAAACAGGAAGTATCAGAAATGTGAAACTTGAGGCATCAGAAATGTGAGACTTGAAGCGTCATACATGTGAGACTTGAGGCATCAGAAATGTGAAGCGTGAAGTATCAGATATGTGAAACTTGAAGCATCAGAAATGTGACACTTGATGCATCAGAAATGTGAGACTTGAAGCATCAGAAATGTGAAACTTGAAGCATCATACGTGTGTGACTTGATGCATCAGAAATGTGAGACTTGAAGCATCAGAAACGTGAAATTTGAGTCGTCAGAAATGTGAGACATGAAGCATCAGAAATGTGAAACATGAAGTATCAGAAATGTGAAACTTGAAGCATCAAAAATGTGATACTTGAGGCATCAGAAATGTGAGACTTGAAGCATCAGTAATTCTGATTGTGAGAATACCATGGACCGAACATGTGAGCAACAACGAAGTTTTGGAGAAAATGGAAACAAAAAGGAAACTAATCCTTAATATCAGTAAGAGACATTTGTGGTTTCTGAAGCATATAATGAGGAAAGAGGGCTTAGAAAACCTGACACTTACGGGACAGTTTGAAGGCAAAAGGGACATAGGAAAACGAAGCATTACCTACTTAATGAGCCTAAGTCAATGGATGGTGGAACAGCGCTTAGGAGAAATAACAGAAAGACAAAGTTATTAAGGGATAGGAGGGGTACACGGTGCATAAAAAGACACCAGGAGACAGATAAAAAATGTCTACTAGTGTTCAGTCAGTAAATGTCGAAAAAACGCTACAAAACCTTCAACAGAGGGTAGTGAAGAAAAGCGAAAAGAAAGGATTAAACATCAACTGCAAGAAAACAGAATGCATGGTTGTTAGCAAAAGGGGCAGCCCAAAGTGCGAATTACAAATTGGAGATGCCAAAATCAACCAAGTACAAAAATTTAAATATCTGGGTAGGGTTTTAACTGTGGACGAAAAATAAAGAAACTAATATAAAGGACAATTAAGGTTTCTAGAGCATGAGGGCTTGGAAAATCTGATACTCACGGGACAGATAGAGGGCAAGAACGACAGAATGCAACGCTTGAGCAAATGGATGGCGGAACAGGCCTTTGGGGTTATAACAGAAAGACAAAGTTTATTAAGAGCTGCAAGAGACAGGAAGTTGTCACATAAAGAAGAAATTCGTTCGAAACCAGTGTAAAGCCTGATTTTCCAGCACTAACTTTATTGGACAATGTATCCAACCCTTCTTTCCATTGTCTGATGATATCTTTCATGCAACTTCAACTTGAATTCGAACTCGGATCTCCGAGTTTTCATTCTGATTCGTTATCCATTACACCAACCGGCACCTGGTACTCCGAAGCGGTCACCCATCTAAGTACTGACCAGGCTCGGTGATCGGACGAGCACCGATGTTTCAAGGTGTTATGACCGTAAACCTGATCGTCCAATAACAATATTTTACGGCTTATCAACCCTTTGCAGAGTATTTAAAGCAAGAATTATTTTCTTTATTTTAGTTTTTTTTTTTTTTTTGAGATTGAAAGATTTTTTCATATAATAATGGTTTCGTGATATATATTAATCTAAGTAATAGCATCTCTTACTCGTCATAGCTGAGTCAGGGAAAAGATGGATTCATACAATCCCTATGGTTATATTTGGAACTCAACTTTCCGATCAAAAATTGGGAGTCATTATCCATTATAACACCCGCACGTTCAAGCTCACTTGGTATTCCAAAGCAGTAACCTATTTATATACTGACCAGGCTCGACATTGCTCAACTTTGTTGATCTTACGGGAGCCGGTGTTCCAATGCGATGTGGCTGTAAGCCTCAAAATTATTGAAAAGAAAATTATACAGATTTGTACATATATATATATAAATATATAGGCTGTTTCATGCTAGACGCAATCGTCAGGACGCTTCTCTCTCTCTCTCTCTCTCTCTCTCTCTCTCATTATATATATATATATATATATATATATATATATATATATATAAATGAACATTGAAGTCAACACTCAGAGACGACAGGCTGTTTCATGCTTGACGCAATCGTCAGGCCGCCTGGCGTTTGTGTCTAGCATGAAACAGCCTGTCGTCTCTGAGTGTTGACTTCAATGTTCATTTATATATATATATATATATATATATATATATAAAATCAATTCATCAGACCTACAAATTCAAAATTTTTTTTTTTTGAATTTTAAGTCTGATGAATTGGATCGTATTTACGATTCCAATGGAATAAATTATGACCATGGAATATTAGTGTTTAAGCCTTTTTATTATATCCTTAGTCTGTCCTGGACATTGAGTTCTACCTGGATTCTATACATGTATGTGTATGCACCTATGTATATATATTTATATATTTTGCATATGTATGTGTATATTTACCACTAATATTATCTATCTATCTATCTATCTATATATATATATATATATATATATATATATATATATATATATATATATGACGTATGTATGTGTGTGTGTGTGTGTGCGTGTGCGCGTGCGTGAACAGGATATATCCTTCAGACAAAGTTTCATAATTTTGACAGATTGAGAATCTGTTTTATTCACTTGATTAAGAAAGTTGAAAAGAAAAGTAGACAGCATAAATTAAAATAACGGCTTTAACGCCTTTATCCATGGATATATGGATAAAGGCGTTGGTTAGATCCAGTGACAGGACCCAAAGAGTGTGAGTTCAATACTCGGTTAAGGCAGTGGAGAACTTTCAGAGGGGAATTAACAGGAGATAACAGATAACTGACATCCATTAAACATGGCACGTGGAACTAGAACAGTCTACCCCAGTGAGCGAAATAAAGGGTTCAGTTCGACATTCCAACCACCTGAAGAAGGTCGGAGCGTACAACGGCCGTAATGTTGTAATAAAAACGGCGACAAAGATGAGGAAAATAGTTCGAATAAAGTAAATAGTGTACATAATCTCATCTCAGAAATATAGACCGATATTAGGCATAGTCCTCAAACTTGTGGATATTATATTTAGTACACTATTTACATTATTCGGAATATTGTCTTCATCTTTGTCGCCATGTATAGTCCTTAATATGTATACATTAAATAGCTCTGTTTCTTAAACTATAGTGAATTTATATGTATTTGTATGTGATATTTACCCCTATATATATATATATAAAGGCAGGATGTGTGTGTAACGAATGCACGGCCGCAATTTTCGACGGATTTGCACCAAAATTTACATGTACATGCTCCAAGTTAGAGGGAAGGTCAAGACCGACGTTGCATTGCACAACTCCCATCGATAGTGGAAATAATCGATTTTTTCATGCTTCTACGGCAGTTTTCCTGTAGTTTGCGGCCATTTTCTACTGGCCAGAGTGAGAGCCTATAGCTTGCTGCCACGAATAGGCAGGAAGATTCTATTGGTCAGCGTGAGAGCCAACAGCTGACTGACACGAATGTTAACGAGCATGCTAGCATG